TAATAGCCGCTTCTGACATCCTAATTTACTCTTTCATGTGAATTTTGAATCATCTATTTCTGATAGTGATTATAGGCTATTTGAATTTTCTAGAGAACATCAAAGAATTTATTCAAGGATTTAGCCTTATCTCCACTCTCAACAATACATTTTTAGAGTATAATGATAAACATTTCGAGTTTTTCATTAAAAGTAAACTCTTAATCAAGCACTGAATTATCATCATTAAGTCGAACTTGTTACCCATCGCCTACCTTAATCCTATTTCTTTTCATTCTTTCCATCATCATATCCTTTTCATCTTTCAATTTCCCGAACACCATTGCAAACAAAGAAAATAATTCTGGCAATCTGTAAATATTCAAATTCGGAGGTAAATTCTATATCCCAATTTTATTATCAGCTCTATTGAGATTATAAGACTCAAGTACATCAATAATCTTTAAGACAAATATACAGAGCGCCTTAGTATCAACTCTTTGCCCTTTAACCATATATCTTTAGTGTTCAGAGAGTAATTGCTCTTCAGCTTAGAGATCTAGCCATATTTAGTTCAATAATTAGTAATCTTAGAATAACTCGTTTATAGAAATTTCAAATGTAAATAGTTCTTCGCAAAAACTATCTATATTATGTCCCTCATCTAATACAATAATACTTCCTTTAAGGGGAATGTTAACTTAAGCTCTTAGATTTTTATCTATGATGTAATTGTAAGGAATAACTGCAAGATCGCATTCTTAGACTCTAGATCTCATCATGTAATAAGGGCAAGTGTTGTTTATTCTCCCAAGCTTATTATAATCATTTACAGATAGCGGCTAGTTCCAAGGTAACTGCTGAGCAACGTAATTAATTGATTTTGCTGGTTTACTTGTACTGCAATTGGCAGCTCCAAATTAGTTTTACAATTCTTAGCTAGCTGATTTTTTAACTTCATAATTGTAGCCATAGAAAAATGTGCATCCAGATTTGATTATTTGAACATCTACTCCTGAATCTTCTATATCTTTTATGTTGGAATCTTTTAATTTAGTCAACTTCAAGGAGGCGTCCTTATTAAGTTTCTATTTTATTGTGTCAAGTTTTCTAAGTAACTTGCAAGATAGATTTAGGGCATTCCCGGGGAATTATTCTGGCAAATTTTCAAATATGCAGGAATGCTTTCTAGAAGCAAATGGACTTATTCTTAATATATAAGGGAGTTTATTCTTGAGCTCATCAAATATTTGATTGATTTGAGAATGAGTTCTTGTGCAATAAACAATTCTAGTAGGAACATCATACTCAATCTCATCCACTTCATTTTCTTCCCCATTTAGCCTTTAATTAATTTTCTCTTTATTTTCTTCTTCATCAATTATAACCTATTCTTTCTTGTCCTATTTTTTCTTAACAACTTTATATTTTTCCTTATGTTTCCTCAAATAGCTTAATGCTGCAACAGCACTACAAATTATAGATAAGGTCTTGCCTGTTCCAGTTGGCGATTCAATTAGCCCATTCTACTTATTTTTAACACATTCAATTACTGCTCTCATCATATCAACTTGGCAAGAATACGGTTCTTCAAAAGGAAAATTAACTTTAATGTCGTTAACTAGTATTTTCTTTTTCACATTATACTTATTATCTAAAGATAATTTATCAAAGCAAAAATATTTACCTAACGCATATATATTGGTTAGGAGCCTAATTTGAAGTTTAGTGTTTTGACTTTTCCAGAATC